GTGCTCATAGAAAGGGAACCGACGGTGAGTTACATGGGTTTTTATCTTAGAGTCGTGTAGTGTCGAAATCACCAGCACGAAGGGGATGCAACACGATTTTAGGACAGCGTCTTTGAAGTGACTCTCAATGCTTACTTTCTAAATCTCTTCTTTATTTTATGTTTTATTATTGTTGAATTATGTTTATGTTATTTAACTGATTATAATATGATAAATATCTACACACAAGTCATCAAATTTTCTACCACATATTCTCACAATAGTTTATTTTTCACATAAATTCAAAACTTTTTCTTACTTTCCAACCACATTCTCCAAATATTCACTATTCAAAAACTCGTTCTTTCCAAAAAAATTCTGTCAAATAAGGGCTAAATTTACCGTGTCATCCTCTTTTTACTTGACTTTGTGACAAACTATGAACAATACAGCAGGATGTAGCTCGAAAAAGTGTATGTGCAACCCAGGAAAACTAACTAATGTGTAGCTCTTGGGAGAAAACTAATCGCAAAGAAAACGGTTGTATTCAACCTTAGAGAGTGCAATTGTGATGAATTTTCGGGCTAGTTCAGTCTTAAGTTCTAAAATATGATTCGAGTCAGATACGAATATGTATTAATACGAGTTGAACAGGATCATCTATCCATTTTAATATCACTAATTTTCCTACTACTTCAAAGCTAGCTATACACGGGGTAAAAAAAATGAAAGGAAGAAGAAATCATTTAAGTAAAATAATGGTGGGCAATTATTTTCAATAAAAAAATCTGACACTCATTGATCTAAGCTACCTTTGCTTGCAGTAGCTCTGCATTTATGTTGGAACATTAATTATCAACCAACCAATTGCTATGACAATTGGTGTCAACTTCAGTTTTTTTGTCTAAATTGATAGAAGCCTCAAGACTATATACACCACTAAGTGTAAGCCACATGGTTATTTTTTAGTCGTAATCACAACTACTCTTCATTTTGGAAATCCTAGAACAATTATTGTAACTAAGATAGGAGCATAATTATGTTTTTTTATTTTTTTAATCGACAATTGTAGGGTCGTTCAAAATTTTCCCTTTTGTATAGGGAAGAGTCGTATTCATTGTAGAAAACACAATTGGTGAGTTCATATATACTAAATTGTAATCCTCTTTTCTATGTTACAGTGAAATCTTTCATCGATAAGTGGATGTAACTCACTTTAAATCATGTATTTTTACTTCTGTTCATTTTTTATTTTACGTTGTTATTCCTCTTGATGATATGAAACTAGAAATTTAATCGACAACATCCCCCACTCAAACCAAGAAAAAATAAGGCCATCAAGTGAAAGAACTATAAACAAATAAGGCCTGCTCCTTTTTGCCACACTCCAATATGGGAGTTATTGTTGTTAACCCTCAAACAAATGAGCGAAGAAAATGGAACCTTGCAAGATTTTCTCAATTTAGCACTTAATATGTCTAAAAGTTCTGGTGGAGATAAAAGAGTGTCTTTACTTGAATTTGTGTCATGATCAGTAATATTGTCATTGTTCTTCTTTACTGGAAAATTTGTTTTAGCTTGGTGGCCATTCATCAAGATCGTCGCTTCATCATATGCTCGTGCCGCTGCGTTGACTGTCTCGAATGTCCCTAGCCAGATCTTCCTAGAGAAAGAACATAGTTTAGAATACATTATTGCAATGTCACTCTGTTCATGTGATGATGCATAATAGTGAAATACCGTCCAACAGCAAGAGAACTCACTAAGCCCTTGATTGTTATTGATTAAAATCTAAATTAAATAAGTTAAAGTCAATAATTTAATTTTAACCACATATTTTAGGGGTCTCAGAGCTTTTCAACCATACATTTCTTCAAATTCTATCAAAATCTACTAAAAATCTAGTTTTAATTCCCTTCAAATAGGGACTAAATTTATTTAATGGTTGAGAAACTAGACATCACTAAGACTACAAACAATGGTCTGAATTGTTCATCTAAGAATACGCGCTAATGAAATAGAGTCGTCTTATTAAAAAGTTGAGAAACTCAACGTCACTAGCCTACAAAGCACAATAGAGAAGGCGAGATAGCAATTACAAGAAGGCTCTTAACAAAGATCAAGTGACCTAATTATGCACCGTGGGACAAAAATGATGAATTGTAGAAATTTTGTGCTTCTAATCATTTCCCTCTTTGGCTCTTTGTACGTGTGAGAGAGAATAGACTTAAGATTTGTATATAAAAAAATTGCATCTTTCAAAAAGCTGTGATTGATAGGCAGTTCTTGATCGTGATTCTATACGGTTCCATAGAAAGTCCACCCTGGTGCAAAGTGTGTTTCGTCTCTCCGACTCTGAGTGTGTATACGTATATGTATGTACATACGTGTATGTATACATAAATATATCATGTATATGTACATATATGTGTATGTACATGTATATATATAAAAGGTTTTAAGAACCCTTCTTTAAGGAGTAATACTATTTAATCCCACTAAAATTGCACCAAGTTTAAGTTGCGCTAATGTAATATTAATTCATATATAGAATTAAATAATCATTTCACTTTTCATTTAACCTATTATCTACTGTCATCTAGACTGAGATTGCAACTCTAGTGGGGCTACATAGTATTACTCTAATTTAAGTGCATTTTTTCCTATCGGCGGTGGAAATTAGAGGTAGAAAAGTACGATAGTTACAAAAGGTAGTTTGTAAGGTTGTAATAAAAAGTATTAATTCATCCACACAATCATAAAAAAGCAAAAAACCATAATGTTCTTAACTACTTTCTTGGTAATTAATATAACTGCAGGAGAGAAAATCATGGCCACTATATTACTACTCTTTTGAGAATTCTCAGCAAAGGACATGGACTCACAATACAGAAGAGAAAATGGGAGACTTTTGTTAGAATTGAAGATGGAAAAAGGAAAACCATACATTTGTATTGTCACCGTATTATTCTCATCCATTTGTTTCTTTTAACTTCCCTCAATACTTAGAAGTTAGAGAAAATTCTTCATTCATTATCCCTTATTGTCTCATTTCCGTCCCATGTTATATACTACTGACATGTTTGATCTGTAATATTGAAACGTGAAATGCATTTTCAATCATAGAGGGGTGTTGTCTATCCTATACCTAATATTATATAGTAGAGTCTACTCTTCCAAACACAGCATAATAACTACCTTTTACACGATTGATCATTTTATAATTCTCAAGCAAACAAAGATTTTAAATTTTATTGTCTATAACATGTGTCTATTTATGTAAGTTAGCTGAATTATCACAATGGGGTAAAGATTCGACAAAGCACATATATAATTCTTTTAGAAAAGTATCATGATATTAAAAAGATTTTTTATTGATCTTATAAGAAAAGGACAACAATGACTTGACTGACTAATTGTTTGTGTTTAATATGCTTTCATTACTAAAGAAAAGAATCATGGCTTGATTAGCACCCCTATTATTGGTTTTATTAAATATGGAAAATTGATCGTTGGACAAATATAATGATCTTCGGATCACAATTAAGTTTAATGTGGAATGCCAACAAAATTCATTTCACTAGACGATATAGAGAGTGTTTGATGGGGATTAAAAATAGATTTTGAAGAAGTTTTTGAAATTAGTGATTGAAAAGTTGTGGATCCAAGGAAGATGTGGTTAATATTGTTTGTTTGACTTTGGCTCGAATTAAAATCTGATTAAAATCCGAATCAAACAAGATAATAATAAGTATAAATAGCTATCGACTTCTCCAAAGAGTAACAAATGGGCTGTGTGACATAAAAAACATTGTGGAGCATATATAAACAAGTACATATATGCTACAACATATTTAAATTTTTATAAACTTTTTATTATAGCATTCACAGTCTCCCTCATTTTACCCTAATTTAAGCACTTGTTTTACTTATGTCATGTTTAGTATATATTCTTTAAAATTCATTTTTTCTCAAAGTTTTTCCCAAAATTATGTGTTCCCTCTCTCCAAAACCCAACACCTACACCTACCTAATTTCTTTCTTCACCCTTTCCACTAACCAACTGTTTTTTCTTTTTTTTTTTGCAATAAAAAAAAGTTATACTTCGTAGTCTTTCTTTGCATGAAGAGGACTCAAGAGAAGAACAACACAACGAAGAGATGCCATGCATGACACTAGCTGATTAAGAAATATGTTTCGAAAATGTAAATTTTAAACCCTAACTTTCTAGGATTGTGCACACTAAAATAGGCAGTATGTAAATCGCCAAATCACAAACTCGCACAAAAATAGTAAAGAGCCTGTCACTATGTGCAAAGAACCACCCAAGAGAGAGTTCGAAATTAGAGTACAACTATTAGACCCAAGACACCACCACCGATCTGTATAGACCTAGGACAAGAACACCACTACTTGAAGAGACGCCACAAATGACACTGGGTGATTGAGAAGGATATCTTGAATATGTAAATTTCAAACCCTAACTTTCTAGGTTTGGATGATAATTAATTATGGAAAATTGCAGGTGATGTATCAAACTTTTAATTTATTAGCAGACTTGGTCCAAACCTTTTATTTGTGCCAACCACGATACCGAACCTTTCAAAAATTCGCAGTTGAAGTCCAGATAGATATAAACTTTTAATTTGACTTTCAGTTGACCAAAAATTGACATTGATCATAATTTTGACTAATTAAAAAAATGATAGAATGATAACATTACATTTTCAACAAAAAACATAATTACAATATATTAATAATTAAATAAAAAAAACCAATATTTATCTTCTTCTCCATTCACCCCCTCACACCCACCCAACCTAAAACCAAAACCAATCATACACTTCACATTTATGCACATTATTTCCCATCATAGGACAAGATCCATATTGACAATAGCAAGTTTGGTGCATTTCTTCTTTGTATTGAGATTTACTTTTGTTGTTCGAATCTTTATCCTTCACAGATTTTGTGTTCTTTGATTTTTCCCCTTTGTCGTCTGTAGATTGTAGCTCTTAGGAGACGAGCTTTGTCTTTTTTGCTAATTTGGCATAAATAAGTTTGATGATTGTATCTGGATCCATTGTTCCTAAGAGGGATGCAAGATTTTCCTCTATACTTATAGTGTGTGAAGAGACACCTACTATAGACAAAAACATAATTACAAAATCAAGAATAGATTGAAATTGTGCAAAAGAGAAAAATAGACATAAAACCCTAAACATAATGAGCAAGAACTCAAGTAAACTGTGGTTTTACTGAAAATAGTAATTACCTATGAGATTGAATAATGCTTTCTCCAGTTTCTTTGGACATGCTTCACAGCAATTGAGATTCACTTTCAGTTTTAATGTGCATAAATGTGAAGTGTATGATGGGTTTGGGTTTTGGGGTGGGTAGGGATGAGGGGAGAAGAAGATGAATAGTGGTTTTTGTTTTATTTGATTTAATTATCATTATATTGTAATTATGTTTTTTTTTGTTGAAAAATGAAAAGTTATCGTTTTATCCTTTTAAAATCAGTTAAAATTATGGTCATAATGCCATGGTTTCCATCCATCTGGACTTCAACTGCAAATTTTTGAAAGATTTGGTATCGTTAGTGGCACAAATGAAAAATTCGGGTCAAGTCTGCTAATAAATGAATTCAAAAACATTTTTTGAGTCACAAAAAATCATTTGGGCTTCTCAAAGGTCATGTCAAACGGCCCATAATCCCTATTTGGTTTCATTCAAAAATGGAAAAATTACCTACAAAAATTAATTTTCAAAAAACAAGGAATTAAATTTCATTTTCACAAATCAGGTGTTGATTAGGTTTTAATAACTAAAATTAATAAAAATTTAATTGCACCTAATCTACATAAATCCCCACTCCCCACACAACCCCCATACATTCATCCTAAAAATCAATTTCACCCTATTCCGTCTTCTCTTTACCTCCCTTTCTCTATTTATCAACCACACTCCTACTCAACCATTCATTCCAACCAGTGATAACCAGAATCACAGGTCGGGGTGGAGTTTCTTGTCACGTCGATTGCGGCAGTGTTGCTCGCACCAGCAATGGTGTGGCGAAGCTTTTAGTCGCGCCAACGACGTTGCGAGCGCTGTTGCAAGTAGTCGTGTCAACGACACCACTACTGCTACAAGCAGCGCCTGGCAGCGAAGCTTGTTGTCACCAACGTCATCGCTATTTCTACAAGCAGCAACGATGCGACGAAGCTTCTCACTAGGTCGACAATGTTACTACTGCTACAAGAGGAGGAACATTGCTGATTTTGTTGTTGGAGTGTTGATTTGCAAACAGTGCCAATCTGTCGATCTGCATTTTAATCTTTGGAATTTGTTACTAGCTTTTCTGATCCAGTTTACTGTGGGTAACCTGTGAGTGGTTTGTTGTTGGTGGCGTTTTAAGTTGTGGGCGTTTTGAGCTACGGATACTATGGGTAGGGGCATGCTTGCCTTGAAAGGAGGAAATTGAAGGTGAAAACGGGATTGTAGATAGAGGTAATGGTAACATAATAGTGGTGGATTGTTGCTATGAATTTGAGGTGATGGTTGTTGTGGATTTGACATTGTACTTGTGGTTGTTGCTGTAGATTTGGGGTGAATGTGTTATTTCTGATTGTGAATTTGAGTTGAAGTTGTAATGATGGGGGCATTGGAGGTGATGATGGTGGTAATTGGAGGTACTGTTCTGCGATGTGTGTAGATTTGTTTGTGATGACACTCTGTAACCAAATATGTGTTTATTGTGATTGGTTGTGATCAATTTTATGCTAATTGTGACTTGATCACATACTGTCACAATTAAGATTGATCAAATTACAAGTAGTTACACTGAAAACATATTAGGTCACAGATAGTAACATTGAAGACAAATTTGATCACAATTAGTTATAGATGACATAGATTAATGACCTGGTTACACAAATTAGACAATTACAGATAGTCACACCGAAGACAAATTTGAGCATAGTTGATCATATATAACACAATTTGGTAACTTGATTACATATAATCGCAAATTAAACAGTCACGAACAGCCACACTAAAGATAAATTTAGTCACAATTAGTCACATATAACAAAGGTTTGGTCAAAAAAATAATTTGATCCCAAATAACAAAGTTAGTGACAAATCTAGGGCGCTTCTGTGGGGTGGCGTAGGGTGTAATCTGAAAAAAAAAATTAAAATTAAAATTATTGAATTTTCTAAAGGTTGGGGAGCGGGTTGGGGTGGGGTGTAATCTCGAGAAAAAATTTCAATTTTTTAATTTTTTTTACAGATACTATTAATTGAGTGGGGACAATTAACACTTGAATTTTTAAATTGAATTAACAAGTTTGTTAGTTTTTTAAATGTAATTCTTATATATAGTATATGAGTTATGTATTGTTCCCTTCAAAAATTTGATAAAATTTAAAAATCAACAATTAATTTTAGTCACATATTTAATATGCCCTATAATCTTTATCAACATTTTTATCATACGTTTTATTAATTTTATTAAAATTGACTAAAAATCAAATTTTTAGATACATCGAACAAAAACACAGTTTCTAAATCTTCAAGCAAAACAAAACCTTGACGCAAGTTGCGAAAGTGGGATGAGTTGTAACAACGTAAAAATGTGAAAATACAGAGAATGTTGGCCCAAAAACTTTTCACAAATAATAAAAAGACGAACGCATCTCATACCCACACAAGTTAGTCAAAGTCAGTCCAAATTATTTAATACTGTGAACGTGTTCATGTGAAGTATGGACTCAAAAAATAGCCAAGTTGAGAGCATACAATGTCTTCTATATATTTTAATAATGAATAATTCATTGGATGACCAAAAATGTAAAAAAGGTAATAAAATAATGAAA